ACTTGAGCAGCCCTAGGAGAGGTAAAGAGGAGCTGAGAGAAGACGAGCAAGGGATTGGAGCTGTAGTTGCATCTTGTCAGCATGAATATTGCAACAGAGTGGAAGATATTCATAAATATATTCATGAATATATTCATTGGCAACGTAGCAAAGTATAACTTACCCAAGATTTGTTTCAGCGAAAAACACACACAGTTGGATTGAACTCAATCCAAACCCCTCACATTTTAATTGTTTAGGAAACAAGCACAGCGTTGACGTCTCTGTTGTTCATTCAAACACTAGTGACCAGTGGCATTTGGCATGGTGTCCTGTGGCACAGCAGCGACCTTCAGAGGGGTAAGCCCCTTAGAGAGGGAGGGAGCACGACAACAAGGCAAAGCAGAGGAAATGACTGTGTCTTTATTTATCCATCTACACACACACATGGGACCTCTTATCACCTATCATTTGCACAGCGAGAGCAGCTATGGCGAGCCGGAGATGGGCAGCGTGCCATAAAAGCACCGCGGGCAGGAGCAGCTGCTTCAACTGACACTACTTGATTTACCTCCCTTTGTGTACACACACACACACACACACACACACACACACACACACACACACACACACACACACACACACACACACACACACACACACACACACACACACACACACACACTAAATCATGGTGATGGAGAAAAAGGCAACCGAGACGTCAGGGCTATTGATTAGGGTGGCCAAGTAATTCCAGCTGAGGGTGACTCCTACGGGGCAGTGGGTGGGGGGTGTGTGTGGGAAAATGTCATTCCACCATTTAATCAACCTCTGCAATCTGCTGAGTAATGCTCATACCCCATCCTCCGACTTTGCCTGTCTGTGTCGTGTTCTGTCATTCTGTCCTATCATGCTGTTGTTGTTGTTGTTGTTGTTGTTGGAGTTAGGAAAGGAGGAGTCACAATTTAAAGCGGCATTAGTTATTTTGTATCTGATTATTGGATCATTTGACTATAGGTTGTGCTTGTAGCTACGTCCAAATGATAATGTCAAAATATGCAGTTACGCTTTGCTTCTGGCAGGCCTTTTAGCATATGTTATCTTATTGTTTTGGATTCACATCTCTGATATTCGACTATTACTAATTTAATATCTGAGCGTTTTTCTTTCTATCAGACAAAAACATTCCGTACACTAGCTCACGGTATCAAATAGCTTAAAGACAAAGTTAGCTACTAGCTTGTAACCATCGGTATATTTGTTGTTGAAGTTACAGAGCTGAAAGGAGTGGATATTTGCATTCATCAGGTGGACAGAACCAAATAAAAGGCTAATGCTAATGCGGTGTACATTTGTATCTGTTCTTTGGGCAAATACAACTTTATCACATAACATCCCAATGTTGCGACAAACACAAATCTATAAATGCACATCGACAGCTGTACCAACACATATTTGTGATGAACTATTATCTGAATCAGCATTCCTCTCAGCTGTGCAGAGACTTTCAGCCTCCTTTAGTATTCCAGTCACAACTCCACTATCATCAACCTCATTTATAACTGCTGCAACCATGAAAAAAAAACAACACATATTTCTCAGGAGCTGGCGAAAGAAACATAATGGGAAAAAGGGAAAGTGGATATTGGATTTATATTCATTCGGTGAGCAGAAACACACGCTAAATGAATGCTAATGTTGCTCTGTGTTAGCTGAGTAGCCCAACAAGCAAACTAACCGTACACCATAAATCAACTTATTAATGTAAACCTTTTACTTGGCCGTTAATACTCCTATAAATATATTATCTTTCTGCCCAACTTTCCTCCCTCTCTTTTGCCTTCTCCCATTTACTGTTATGTCCTTCATGAATTGCTAAAATATCATACATATGTAAAGAAACAGGCCAAACGTTCAATCACATGCATGGAACGTCACATATATCCCCTCGGTGAGTGGTGACCTCTGTCTGACAGAGGGACTCACGGTGTGGAGGCAGTCCCATGCCAGAGGGGAGAGTTCATATCCCAGACTACTGATTATGCATTTGCATCTGATTGGCAAATCACCCACCAGCTAGTATTTGGCCAGAGAGAAAGGGAGAGGGAGAGGCATGCGGCAGGTTCACACATTCCATTCCTCTTGGAAAAATACAAAGCACTATGACCCCATGTTAGATGTCAGAGAAAGCCAGTGTTTATACTGCAACAAAAACAGGCTCTCACATAACGTCCACACCAAAACACAGAGCATTATTGTTCCTGACTCCAGCTCTTTTGACTTAAATCTCTCAGGGGCAAAGCAAGTACTTAAATAACTCTGCTGTATGTTTTTGTCAAAACGCCTCTATTTTTAGCTTACTATTCATCTCTTTCTCATTACTGACCTCCTTTTCTGTCATGCTGGGTCAAATACGGATGAGCCTACTTAGGTTTGGCAAAGATAAATGGTTGTTATCTCCATTGACCATCAGGGGAGCTGTGCTTCACTTACCCCGATTTTAAAAAGCAGATTTTTCCTTTGCATCATCATCTTTTTAATGCCAGTCTTTATCCTTTAGAAAAGGATAAATCCTGACCTCCTTCTCTTTCACAATACTCTCAGAAAGGCAGACAAGTAAGCCAGATAATGCACACAGCCGTACACACAGACACCAATTCCATTCAGTGCAGTCATCTTAAGTAAGAACCAAATGCCATACTGTATCAGGCCTTTGTATGCACTGACCCCAAATCTGTAGCCTGCAGCCACTTTCTGTTGCATACAAGCAAGCGACTCTCTCTCCCTCTCACATATACACTCCATTCTGCAAACATTGCTAACACATACCCAAGCATCAGAATCACACAATTCACCCACTTGAATGATACAAATCATCTGGCAATAATCTTCAGAAAGAAAGGCAAGCACATATGTACACACACACACACACACACACACACACACACACACACCTTGGCTGTGGGCTTTAATCTGGAACCATGATAAGCATGCAGCAGATGGTGCCCACAGAGAGAGAGAGTGAGGGAGACCACACACATTAAAAGCCTCCCTACGGAGTCATCTAGCCTTCTGGGCTCTGGGCTCGTTTGGCCTTGCCTGGTCAAGCACAGCCCTGGCTAGCCTTTTCTGGTCACCGCGTGCCAATGGCCCGAGTCCGAGAATACTTAGGTTAAAGTATGAAGACGGCCAAACCAGACAGCCATGACCTGTTGTGTCCAATGAGAACTCATTGTTTTCAGTATGTTGTTGACAAATGATGCAAAGCTTTGATAAAACTTCTCATGTCTCATCTTGCCAACACCAGCCCCTCCAAACAACCCTAAACGCTGCCCTCTCCTCTCTTATCTTCCACCTCTTCCTGCTACTGCCCCCTCTTTAGTTTACCCACAGGTGTGTTTACTGTACTTTTATGATGGCATTGTACCTCTGCAGCTGCTGCAGCCGCTGGTCTGCCGGCAGGAAGTTGTGTTTGAGGTTGAGGTGGGTTAGGTCGTGGCTGTAGAAGAGGTTGGGAGGAAGTTGCTCCAGGCTGCAGCAGGACAGATCTACGGAGTTAATCCTCTGGGACACCATCTATATGGGCGGGGGGGAAGCGAGAGGTAACAGAGTGAATGAGAAATGTGCAGTTAAACAGGATTATCAAGACCACAAGACTTAACTGGTTTACTGTGTATGTGTGTGGGCTGCTGCTAAGTGGGCAAATGTCATTCAATGGCCAATCTTTTTAGGATTAGGGATTCAGAAGATGTAGAGGGAAAGTCTAACAGGTTAGTGACCTGACATCATCCTGTAATCTAGTAAACTGCAGGTGCGTAGAGCAGTTAGCCTACGATTTGTTAGTCAAATTTTTTGGGATAACACAAGCTAATCAAAAAGGAAATGAAGGCGCCACCTGATCTTAAAAAGAGAAAATCTACACCCTGTGAATTTGAGCTTTTCAGAAAGGAGTTCGCTGGAGGCTCAGCAGTTGTCACTGAGGCACGTGTTGCTTCTATCCAGCCTCTATTCTGAGAGGCCCGCTGGGTGCTGGTGACATGCATGTTCATATTTAGAGAAGAGCTTTTTTGGCTGTGGCCTACTTGAGTTGAAATAAAAGAAAGAAGAGAGAGACATGAGTGTTGTTAATACGTGTGAGTGCACTTAGAGACACTTGCTTTTACTGCCGATCGGACAGAAATGTGCAGCTCTTTGAATCTCACTCAGCTCATACAGGCAGTGCAATTGTGGTGGGTGCCATATTTTCATACTTTTGCTCTTGCAGTCACGCATGTTCTGATATACAATGCAGCTGACTCGTAAGTAGCGCCTGAGAGCATATGCTGATATTTTCCTTTTTTCCCCCTTAAAACTCTCATGCACATCCTCACACAGTACCTTGGCAGCGTGTCTGTGCCAGCGCAGGTGCTCCGTGAAGCTGTCAAAGCTGACGTAGTAGGTTTGACTCTGAGGCCCTGCCGAGCTGAAGGCCAAACAGTGATTGTGCTTCTTCACCTCTTCCACCTGTCCACAGAACACACACAGGAGTGACATTACAGTCTGAAATCTGACATCTCCGACCCCATATGAATACAGAACGATGCGATTAAGTTTAGGGTCACACAGTAAAATAAATCAGAGAGGAAATGCTGACGCATGGATGCCTTAATAGATTCATTCTTATTTGAAAACAGCTTCTGTTGGAGGAAATAAGATGTTTAATGTCTGCAGGGTAAACATGCAGTCAAGCAGAAGCACACATGACAATATAATGCATAAGGCATGGGTGATCATTTTATATATAGAGTATGTGCGTGATATGAGCACAAATAAATCTGTGTGAAATTGTTTTTAGACACGCAGAGTCTCACTCAAGCACATGGATTCTGTGAATGAATGGATCACGAGTTACTGTGTTTGAATACTGGCACACATACAAACTATTTCACCATACATGCAGCGGCAGGTGAATGGGCGAATACTAGACTAGAGGTTACGTGCTGTGTGTGAAATGTTTAAAAACTGGGTGTGGCAGAGTGTCCTTTGTGTAAGGCGGGCCTAATTGTGTGGCTTGGAGATAAACAGATCCATAAAGCTTTAAACAGATAAGGTCATTTTTAGGGAGGAACTTTCAAAAAGGTAGAGAGAAATAAGGATACTTGAATGCCATAGTGATCTATTACACTGAACCTTATGGCATTCAGACTCCAGATTAGAATTACACAAACACATCCTTGTAAAAGACTGAAACTTTTTGACTTTGTAGAAACTCTTTGGAGCATTAATGTATGTCAAGGACAAAAAGTTGGAATTTAATCAGGTCACTATCTTGTGATATGACATTATGAGTTTATGACCCAAAACATGATTACATTACATCATTGTAAAAAACCATGGGGACAAAAAAACACTATGTGATGCCAGTTGTGCACCGTTGTGGTGTGATGAAGACATACTTTTCCTCCAATGAGCGGCAGGATGTGCATCTTCCCCGTCTGGCTCTCCTTGACGGAGGACACGATGAGGCAGGTGCCACAGAGGATGACCTGCCGTCTGGTCCAGCGGTTGACCGGCAGCTGGAGCTTCCCTTTGCGAACGTTGTATGTCCCTGACAGCTGCACACGCTCCGAGTTCTCAATGCTTGAGGGCTTCCCTAGAACAAAGAAAAATGTATAAGAGTTAGCACTGTAGACTAACATGTGTCAGTACATTGTTTTGTTCAAGGTAAATAATGAGCCTACCACTAGTTCATAAAAGTATACTGCTTATTTTGCCAGGCCAGGCTGAGACTTAAACACAATGGTGCTTGGAGCTTAATGATAATATCAGCAGGGTAAAAAAACAATGACCTGCCGATGTTTAGCAGGTATAATGTTTATCATGCTAACATTTGGGTAATATTACTCAACATAAAGTATAGGAATGTAATCTGTTTTAAAAAAGGTACTGCATTGGACAAATTACACTCTTGAGCTATACACAGTTTCCAATCAATCTAATAGTTGTTGTATTGTATTGGTTTTATATTACAAGGCACAATACAAGTAATGCGGTAGCTAGCCCCTAAATAAAGCAACCAAATGACAAACAATGCTGGGTTGACATAAGATCTAAATACATTCAGCGCAACTGTTCCAAATGTCCTTTGCATTTGGACTGAAATATTCTCGATTTGAATTCAGCGTAGCTCTACATTAATATACTTAAATTCCACAGCAGCAGGTGCACCTCTTTAAATGATTCTTTTACAATTACTGAGCTTCCTTTATTCAGTTTTACCCATCTGTCGGCCTTCTTCCTAACCTGTTCTCTTGCTTCACCACCAGCCGGCCAATCCTGACAGTCAGGCTGCTTATCAGGCGTTATGTCAGCAAGGCTGTGTTATGGTTCTGTTCAAACATCCACCTGCTTTCTGTCTACCTCCACCTCCGCAAAAAACGTCCCTGGGCAGTCCTCCCCCCCCCGCCATTTATTTTTCTATCCGGCTGCCTGACTTTCGGTTTCTCAATTCTATCAAATGTTTTGTGTTCGTCTACCTGCAGCATGTTTCACCTCAATGTGTTGCCCAATTCAGCCAAGAGATTCATGCCGTGGGTTACCAAGTTATCTTTTCCAAGCGACAGATGGCATAGAAAATGTCTTACATACTGTTGCCTTTTGTAAAGTAGCTGCATCCATCCTGCACCGACTCTTTCACACGTTTCACATCACCAAACACATGAACTGAACTGACGCAAGGGGGTTGTGGAGGTGAATAAGAGGGAGGAAGAAAGAGTAAGAAGGGTACAGCAAGTGTGAACCTCTCTTGGCTTTTCAATAATTTAGGTCTTCCACATGCCGGCGGTGAAAGGCTAGCGCAGTAGAGTAGGCTACTTCACGCTGCTCCCATCCAACACACTCAGCAGAGTTAAATAACATCCTGACCTTCAATAACATATACAGCACACAGCTATATTTGAAATCCATCGCAGCTTCTGAGTCCTGACCTTTGCTCTTGGCTACAAGCTAATCTTGTTTTCACAGCAGAATCATTTGCCTAGCTTGCACAAGGATATTTGCTTTTAATTAAATGCTGAGTGTGTAACATAACACTGTTGTTCAATGTTGATCAGGAGTCATGTTTGATGTGTGCCGTATTGATATGCGTAAATAGCAGGACTGTAATACTTAACTACAGAGGAGCACAAGCCTCAGAAAAAACGTTCAACGTGGAGCCGCCTTACTACTTACTGGCTACTACTAATCTTCTGAGGAGAAGTGTGAGAATGCATCGCTGCCAGAAGATTACACAAAGTCACACATGTCACATAATACTGCAATCTAGCATTAACAATCCCTGTGGGTTGGCCAGAAACATTGGTTAAAAGGAACAAAGGTAAAAATAAATGTGTGCTTTAACTGCTATAACATAAGTGGATGGTTCTAGGGGAAAATACATCTTCTTTGTGAAGGACTTTTTATAGAACTATTTAAAAAGGCAGTGATAATTTAAATATAGCCCTATTATAGTAAATGCAGTTCTGCCTGGCACAAAGCTGTGAAGCTATCTATAATAACCTGTTTATTACAATGTAAGTAGCATAACCTGTTTTTAATCATTTCTCTCTGTGCTCTGGCAGTCTGCCTTGGCTTAACAGCAGTAAAAGAAAAGCTGGCAATCCTTATCTACAGAAAAATATGGATAAATATGTTTAAATGAGCGATGAGGATATGAAAGACATCTGTATTTTTTCCAATGTCTTTGTTTTGTATACTGTATTTAAAGATAAATGAGCAAAACACAGCTGAAATTCCATTTAGCATTATATTGTAAGCTAAATTCACCCAAATATGAATATAATACAATAATATCTATTTGAAATATCATACATTTGAAATCAAAAGGATAAAGTAAATTCTTGCCACTCGATTCCTTCCCAATTTGTCCAAGCTTCCCCCCTAAATATAAGAGGTGTCCATTCTCCTTTTCACCTTCAAATCAGTGGTTTAGATAAGTGAGTTAAACTGGGGACTGAACTGTCCCTGAAGAGGTGTCATGGGGAGGGGAAAGATAAGAAAACAAAGATTAAGGAGGAAGCTAGGTATCATTTTTGAAAGAAAGAGTTCTACCGGCATGTGTCTAAAAAACATGACAGACTATATATAAATATATATAATTAATACATTGTTTTTATTACGAGACAATTTAACTTTACTTGAATAATAAGACTTGTATTTAATATGTTATTGAATTGAGTACATGAACTGCGTAGAACTATATCTTATTTAAACCTAAATTAGAATTATCAGAGCATAATAGGTACAACTGAATCGGACCAAGAGCTATCGTCCACCAAATTCCCTTCAAATCCATGTACCACCTTGCTAACAGACAGACAAACTGACGGGTTTGTCTGAGCAGACTGGTTACCCCCTTACAACTTCACTGGCTGGCAGAGGTAGCCAGCAGGCCCATCATTGTTGGATTGAGCTTGGGAAGGGGGTATGTGTTGCATTATACAAATTATTCACGAGCTTTTAGCCTCAATATGTCACATGGGCAAATTCCTACTATTTTTAGGCCTTTTGTTGGAACGTGCCTTCTCCCACACTAGCATATGCACACCCACACTACTCCCCTTCCCACTCTTCCCCTCAATGACATTCACACACGCACTAACACAGTGACAGTGATTAACCATCTCCATATGTGCATCCATATAACATCCCCCACCCCCCCCGAAATGTTGATGGACCAATATCAGCAAGACATATTGTAGCGATATAAAAATACAGACAGGATAAGTGGGATGCTTTTGTGATTCTCCTATGCGGATGATGCCGTTTACAACCGTATCAAACAGACGGGGGATGACTGGATGGAGGAAAACGCTCCAGTCTGGCCATGGGAATGCACAGTGGAGGAAGCAAGGAGATGGGTGTGACGCCCACGTGAGCATCCTGTTTACAGGGGTGCGCCAGAGTGAGGCAGGATCTCTCCGTAACCCTCCAGCAGAAGGAGGGAAATCATAAGAGACAGTTACTTTATTACAAATGTATGAACCATAGGCCACCTACACTAGAAATATTCTGAGCAGGGATGATCTTAGTCACCATGGTCATCCCATAATCTACGGGGGAAGCATGACTTTTACAATAATAGACCGGCCCTTCAAGGTGGGTGTGTGCAGAAGTCGTTCTATTCCTAGACATACTGTATGTGCGTGCAGGAGTACACTACAGTGTGTGTGTGTGTGTGTGTGTGTGTGTGTGTGTGTGTGTGTGTGTGTGTGTGTGTGTGTGTGTGTGTGTGTGTGTGTGTGTGTGTGTGTGTGTGTGTGTGTGTTGCTGGAGATGGCTTCCTTCCTTTTTCCTTCCAAGCTCAGGAACAGAGTGTTTCCCCTCCACACTAGGCTTGAATACCCATGTGTGCGCACCCCTACCGCTACAACACACACACACACAATCAGGCTGCGGTCACTCTCAGATAAAACCTCAACTTAATCCAAGATATTAAAGCTTTTAAACTCTGTAAAAGGTTTCTTCACACAAGTATATATTATAATACGGAAACATCCTTCGCTTGAATACACTTGACTTCCACGGTGTGTATTATGAATCAATTCACTTTATCTTACGATACAGTATAATCCACTCAGTGACAATACAGCTATCCAGGGAGTCCTTGCGATGTATATTAAAAACAAACAACAGTAAAAGCAACTTGTAACTGAGAATAGTGGCCTATGTGAAAATCATGGTGCTATAATACTGAAATATACTCTTGATGCGTTCAATCCGAATGCAGAACATCCAGAAAAAGACATTGTGTTGCCTTTAAACATACAATCTTATAACCTTAGAGCAAGTGTTGTATAGCAAGTGTGTCTTTTTATTGTGTAATCTTTGCAAAAGTCAATCAGATTCACATAAAAGGAAACAACTCTTCAGTATTATGAGCTCTTGTTTTCCAAGACCAGGCTATAAAGCTCCCTCCAGCTGCCCTGTTATCCATCATTGTTGCTGGTGATCAGTACCAGGCCAACCTCTCTCCATCCATCTCCTAATTTAACAGATCGCTATTTTCTTCTGGCCTTTCTCTGTTATAACAAGGACACATCCCTGGTTAATCATTCTGCCCTGCTAAATGCAACCTGACATCGGCACACCTCTACTACAGGACTGGGCATGCCGTACCGCAGGGCGTCGATGACCCACATAAATCACAGCGGAGCACGAGAATGGTAGAAACACACTTTCTTATTCTATAGGCAGTGACCGATGTTATGTACCGGATGGAAAGACTCTAGGACTTATAAATGCTTCTATATTGGGCTCTTATATCTACAGGATCAGCCTTTTTTCCTCCCAACCTCAGGATCTCATTCGAGAATTAGCATTGGGACGCATTTGTAAGAACTTGATAGGAGACACTCTATCAGACAAACATCAACAAATAATGCTTCGTGTTGGAGCTATTATCAAATAAAAAGCAAACTACGGTTGAGGACAATTAGTTAAGAAGGGATATAGAAAGCTGTTACTCTGCAACACAAATAGCTACACTGTCCTTCTGTTACGAAAAAAAACACACACACACATACAATGTCCACAAAATGTTGACTAAAATTGTGTTTGCAGGAAAGGGAAGAAAGAAGAATGTCTATATCTGAG